CTCCCAGGCTCAAGTGATCCTCCTGCCTCAGCCCCTCCAAGTAGCTGGGACTACAGGATTGTGCCACCACGCATGGCTAATTTTTCTATTTTTTGTAGAGTTTGGGCTTCACCATGTTGCCCAGGCTAGTCTCAAACTCCTGGGCTCAAAGGATCTGCCCGCCTCAGCCTCCAAAAGTGCTGGGATTACAGGTGTTAGCTACCACGCCCAGCCTATATATGTATTCTTAATATTTACAAAGATTTTCATTTTGTTCTGTGTTACTTTTGTAATTATTTATCTGCATCGCTCTATTTTTAAGTTAAAGTAAGAAATGTTTCTGCTAGTCTGTTAAAGTAAGTAATGATAAAAATTAGTGTTTCTTATTCCTCAATGCCTTCCTGCTTGACTAGATAATTTATCAAATAATTTGGATTACATTTCATCTTTGTGTGGCTAAATGTCATGCTACTTATTTGTTCTTTTAAGAGGTTTTATTGGACTCCCAGCCATTAGACAATGGATGCCATTATATTTCATATCATTTTTATATTGTCAATTTGTTCTATAAAATTTGTATTGCATTATATTGCTTTAATTCTCATATTCTAACATGTAGGTCAGTAGATAAATACATTGAATGTATTAACTTGAAAATCAGTCCTTGATTCAGCATGTCTCTTTTATTTATTTATTAGAAAGCCGAATTTCATTCATTATTCTAGTGATTTCCTGAAGGTAGTTTCATGAGAATAATAGTCCCTGAGTTCTTGCATGTTCACCATTGTTTGTCTGTTCCCATTGTACTTGAAAAACCATTTAGCTAAAAAGAAAAGAAAAAAAAACTTAGTTCTCAATTTATTTTCTTTGGTTTCTTGTAAGCTTTGTTCCACTGATACTGAATGGCTCAATTCCACTAAAGTTGCAGTGAAGACTTCTGAGGCCAGTATCAGTATTTTTCTTTATAAGTTACTGATTGCTTTTGCCTGCGTGTCTTAAAAAATTCTTTTTTTGTATTTAAATTCTAGTTACTGTACTAGGACACATCTCAATGTTGATGATTCTGGGGCAGTTTTTCCTGGTAATCGTTATTTCTTTTCAAAGTGAAATTTCAAGTCATCTTTCATTTGAAGAATGTTTCTTTCTTTAATAATATATTTACATATTTATTTTCCCATCATTTATTTCTTTTCTCTAATTGTGTATCTATTGGATTACCATTCCCTATCTTCTCCATCTTTTGTATTCTCTCTAATCCTGTGTAGTTTTTCTTTACTTGCATTTTATTTTGTTAGCTTTCCTCATTTCTGTCTCTTCTTTTCCTGCCTGTGTCTATCTCAGTGTGCATTTTACCTTGTAATTCTTCCATTTATATTCTTAATTCGTGAAGGTATTTTTTTTCTTCACTTCTTTTCTGAGTTTCTCCAGCTATGTGTCACCAGCTCCTATTGTCTGTCATCATCCCTTCCCAAGTTCTTGCATTTGTACCTTGTAGTTTTAATTTATAGAAGCAATTCCTTCATTGTGCCTTTTTGAAAATTTTTGCCATAATGTTAGAACAAATTTTTCAACTTCTCCATGACAACATTGTTGTGGTGTATGTTCTTCAACAATGGAAACATTTTACTACTCCTTTGCAGGTCTTTTCTTATACTGCTTTTGTGTCGACCGTGTGTCCATTCTTTCCTCAACTACTCATATATAACTGAGTTAAATTTTTCTCATCTAGGTTCTTGGGAAAAGGAGAGCAAAATAACATCTGGGGTTTTCAAAGGGTTTCTCTTCACTGCTGTTACAGAGATAGACTCACTCCTCTGCCTAATTTTTGTGTATCCCTCCATTACTTCCCGCAAGACACATCCAAGTGGGCTTCTTTCACTAGCCACACTGATTGTTGGAAATTCCAGTTCCTACACTGATTGGTGCAAACAAGATATATAGGTTTCATAAGTCACAGTAAGATCTTAGCTTCAGAAATCATGTTTTTGTAGGTTTCCTGAGATTAGCCACAACAGAGTCCTCTACATTTGTCAGGTTTCTTTCTTTCCTCCATTTGCAGCCATACCCCAACTCTAGTTCCCGAATCCATTGTTGTAATCAATGGAAATTGATTTTGTTCTTCTGAGTGAAAGTCTCACTTTCAAGAATCTTTTTTTTTCTTTTTTCTTTTTTTGGAATATTCTCAAATTAGGTATCGTTGGGTCCACTCTCTGCCCTTCTTTCTTTCTCTTCTGAAACTTCTGGTTGATCTCAGCAGTTCTGGGATCTCATATACAAATTTTGGAAACTGCAGATTATCTATCTTTTGATTTTACTGAAAAAAAGTTGTGACTTTTTTTCCTTTTGATTCTTTGGTACATTGTTTGGGAGGAAAAAGGGAAAATGCTCATTTTTGCCACTGTCTTTATAATAGATTCAGTCTATGCATTCAGCAGTGCTAATCATATAGTACATATATAATTTTTAGAAGTGTCTGCAACCTCAGAAACATTTATTATTCTCCATTTTTCTCACTTTGAATAAAAGCAGATATTTATTTTTTAAAGTTAAGGCTAACCAAAATTTTCTCTTGCCTAAAAAGTATCCACTGTATTCTGTTACTACAACAAATGTGACTTTCTTAACTAACCCTTCTGTCTCCTCTTTTCTTCAGCAGCTCACATAAGGACTGGTTATAGCAGAGGCTCATAATCTGTCTTCCTTTACTCCTAATCTTTTTAATGTCTATAACTAAATTATTAAATATTTCTTCTTTAAGCTTGAAATTTGTCATGATCATCATTATTACTAGAACATCTTTCTTAGTGATAAAGCTTTTTTCATTCTATCACTGGACTCTTAAGCCTCACAAAGGCACCGTTAGCAATTTTCTTAACTGTATTATCCCTGGGGCCTACCACATTGCCTGCCTACAGGGAGTGCTCATTGAATATGTGTTCAATAAATAGAGCAATGATATTTCCTTTGCTAACCAATATCTGGCACTCATGCAATATCAGCTCAAAGACGGGGTTTTGAATCTTTCTGATTTTAGAAAATTTCAGCATGAGAATTTGTTTTCAATTAAATAAGTTCAAAGGGTCAGGGTTTTAAAATTAAGCTTTTATTGTATTAATTCCTTAATTTTCCCATGGTATAATGCTTAACACAGTACAACAGTAATAGAGATGTAGAAGGGGAAAGAAATATAAAAGGGTAAGAATGCTGTAGTAAAGGTGACAGAGAAGTTTTCACCCAGGCTCAGAATCTACATTGAAATGCAAGTCCTTCAACAGGAGAGTTCAATGCCATTCCATTGCTTATCATCCTGTTCTTGTCTCTGGTGGGCCAAGTGGCTGGGGATGTAAGCTGGAGGCAGGAGTTAGAAGCTTGCTTGCTCTACTCCAAACATCACCCTTTTCCTTTGCTTGGCTGTAAGGCATTATAGTTTGCATTTTTGTCTTTGCCATTTTAGAACCATAAAATGAGACTATAAGCTATTGCGTTATAGTTTCATAATTATAGTAAGAAAATAGCAAAAATTCTCAAAGGTAAATTACTTTAATAAGGAAGGGATGAGAAATATTTTAAATAGAAATGAGAAAACAGAGATTTAATTAATTCTTGGTAACCATCCTCTGCCCAAGTGGCCGCTGGCATTTGCAAAATTTATTGTTCACTTCTGTAATATAGGCACCACTGAGAAGACTTAGGGAGCTAAATGAATTGTGAGTCTTTGCAAACCTTTTCTTTCTATGGTCTTTATGGAAAGAATAACAGTGGGTTAATTTCCATGGTATACCTCTGGATCTCTGAAGACAGTAACACATGCCTTTTAAAAGGGAGGTGTATTCGAATAATTAGATGTTTGTCCCTAAATAAGGAGGTAGTTCTCTCATTCAAGTCATTAGGTAGATGTTGAACCAAATATTTTCATTAGCAGATATACTCAACAGGATAGAGTCTAGCAAGTTGATGCCACTCAGCCCAACAAGTAATACTTTATCCCCAACATTGTTTTTTCCTTCATGTGAATGTATACAGGAAAATCTAGAGGTTTTTAATCAATATTTAGGTATGGCCTATTGCATTGAAAATGTTTTTCTACATTGCATTTACAGTCAAGAGAGCACTTTTTAAAATCTGAGAACATTTGTTATATAAGACACACTTATGTAAAATGAAATGCCTACTTTATTTATTCTAGAGACTATGATCCTTTAGGCTTTTAAAAAAATGATTCCACCAACTGAAGGATTACTTCATTTAAAAAAAAAAATTTTTTTTTTTTAAAGCAACACAACCAGCCAGCCAAACAAAATCAGAATCTCTTTCCCTCCTGGGAATGTCTGGGAATAATTAGCTCACCTTATGTGTTATGTTATTTGAGGAGAGTTTTACCAGGCTTTTTTTTTTTCTAGTCATATCTTTTAGACACATAATCTACTTGCTCCCTGGCTATCCCCAATTACCACGTGAAAATTATAAAGTAAAATTACGGCTCACGGAAATCAGTTAATAATGTTCAGTTGTTTTTATATTTACTGAATGTGTGTTAATTCACCCTCTCGATCTCGCGCGTGTATCTGTCCTCAGTACAATATCTATTTGCATGCACCTCTTTGTAGTTTGCGAATATACAGGATTGATTTAGAGTCAAATAGAGCAAAAGAAAACCACACTACGAAAGCGGGACCAACCCTAGGAAAAATGCAGGGGGAAGTGAAAACCTCTGTGATAAAGAGATTCAGAGATCTTTCAATCCCTAGGTTTTTAGGATGTTGAGAAAAGGGAGGAAGGAAACCAAGACAGAAAGTAATGGGGCTGTCACTATGCCCTTCACACTTACAACCTTCCTAGATCATTGAGAACACGGTCCGAGGCAATTGGGTCAAAATGATATATGTATATATTTCTTTTTTTTTTTTTTTTTTTTTTTTTTTTACCTCTTTAGCTGGTCAACCCCGGCGGTAAACAACCAAGGCCACCACTGCCCAGGCAACAGCTCCAAGGGGCAGGCGATGGTTGCCGGCGTTCAGCTCCCTGCTGGCGCCTTCTGGCGGGACAGCCGGTGCCAAAGAGCGGCCAGGGAAACAAACACCAAAGGGGGACTATACAGATGTCATGGATGCACATGTAGGATCATAATCTGTCCAGAAAGCGGAGAGAAGGAGGGCGACAGGCTACGGGATCCTGGTCCAAGAGCCGCCGCAATGGAGCGGGCGGCGGTGTGCGCGCACAGGTGCCACAGGCCGGTGGCGCGGCGAGCTGTAGCGGCTACCTCCCGGACTCAGCACTCGCACCAGCGCGCTGAAGCCGCGGCTGCTGCCAAGCTTGGGTAACCCCCAGCCTGAGCCACGAGAGGAAGAGCCCAAGGAAAGGGCGCGAAGGGGGAAGAAGGGTAGGGTAGAAGGAGGGCGAGGGAGAGACCCATGGCCTCATCCTCCATTTCACCTCCCGAGCTCATCTGGTGGGAACCTTTGCTGTGCTCCTGCGCGCCTCCCTCCCCACCCCCTCAACTCTGGGCGACCATCTCCCCCTCTCCCCTTGCTCACCCCCCACCCTTCCTGCTCTTCCGTCCCTCCCTACCGCGTGCCTCCTCCCCTCCCCCTCGCCCCCTCCCCTCCAGCGGCAGTAGCTGTAGCAGCTTCAGCTGAGCCGGAGATGGGCAGAGAGCGCGCGCGGCGCAGCAGCTCCAGATTCACTGCTCTCCCCTGCAGCTCCCCGCGCCCCCGTCGCTGTCGCCGCCTCGGTGTCCCCCAGCTCCCGTCGCGCTCTTAGGACAGCGCCGCCACCGCCGCCTGGCCCTGCCTGCCTCCTGCGCCGCGCAGCCCTCGCGAGCGCCCCGGATGGCGCTTTACCCCCAGGACCGGTGAGTAGGCGGGAGAGTGCTGGGGGTCGGGCTTCCAAGCTTGGCGCGGAGAGAACATCTTTTGATTTGGGAGGCACCCCAAACCAGCTGCTGTGATTCCCCGTCCTCCAGACAGAGGGTCCAGGGAGGGTGCTGCTCTGTGGTCCCCAAGGGGATGTTTGATTTCAACTCCACCTGCTGGCAACCTGAACCCCTCTCCCTCTCGGGGACAGCTGCCTGCAGCTCACAGTCCCGCCTCACCTTCCAGCCCCCAGGCTCCCATACCAGCAGCAGCAGTAGATGGCCCCGACCCTCTGGTCACCCCAAATAGGGTCATCTCTACTCTTACCGTCCCTGCGTTCCTACCTTATGCCAGTGCGCAAACGCCCCCATCTGCCACCCTTCACCGGATCTCGCGCTGACAAAACCTTCTCCACAAAGTCCTCCCTGACCCACCTTCTCGCCTTTCCCAAAGCCTGGCTCGCGAGCCCCACTGCCCCGTCCTATTCCTTCCAGGGGTGAATGGTCCTCGGTGAATTCTGACCCCATTCCCTCGACACAATGGTGCCTCTCCAGATTTTCTGACAGTCACCTCAGGAAATTGACACAGACACGCTGTGATCCTGGCTTCCGTACAGTTACTTTGTGTGTTACTCAGTACCTGGGCTGTGAAGGGTATGATCAAGCATGAAACAATAAAGACAGAAAACAAACCCTTTGGAACCAAACTTTTTATCATTGTTGTTTTAAAGCGCAGAAGAATTTGCATTGCTTAGGTTTGTTCTGTTCATTGAGAGGCATCTTAGCTGAGTACAGGAAACACACCTATTTTACCTGTTCCTGCGGAATTGGTCTTACTTCCAGGTTAAGAACAGAGCACCTGCCTGGGCGGGGAATCTCTTTCAGCAACAACACTATCAAAAGCTCAGCAACGCTTGAGGATAAGAAGCTTTTTCTTGAAGGAGATGAGAGTAGCACCAAAGTTACCCTTTAAAATCTTCTTTGAAATTGCAATCAGCCAAAGCTCTTATTTTTCTTTAGGTATAGTGGCTAAAACAGGGATATAGGAGGATTAGAAAACGTTGTACCAAGAAGCTCCTGCACTATTTGGGTGCTTCTGGAGTTGTGTAGTATCTTAGCACCAGACGGTATTCCTGTAGAAGTTTTCTTAGGGCAGTAGTCATTTCTTCTGAAACCATGTTTACTGTTTTATTATTTCTAGTTGGAGTGCGAGAAAATAGAGTTGTGTTCAATGAATGAATATGAGCAAGGGGGATGGAGGAATAAGTGAACATCGGGAGGGGTCAGTTAAATAATAAAATTTGTGCTCTCAATTTCTCATGTATTGAAATCTTAAAAACAAAACTACCCCACACAATATGGTTTAATATTTTAGAGAAATGATAAAAAGACATTTATTTCAACGTGGCATTTTACTCCATGGAACCCTTGGTCATAGGACTTGTGTTCTAAGCAATATGGATAAGTATATCCAGAAATAAAGGTTAGGAACTTTAAAAGGTGGCCCTTTGTGTCAATATAAATTTCCTGATATTATTATCACTATAATTTGATGGGAATACGAATTAAAGTGCCATTCTTGCTCTTGCAGTTGGTGGAGAGAGATGTATGCTTCATCACCTGAAAGGAGCAAGTCTCAGGCTATACAAGAAATAGGAAGGGAAAGTTGAACCATCATCTAGGGAATTTGTTAGTGAATATTGCCTTAATACCTTCTCCAATGTCAGGAATTTTTGTTGGTTTGTTTTCATTCAAACTGCATCTGAGCTTTGATTTCCTTGTTGTGTAGACATAGGCAAAAATGCACTGAGCAAGTCCACTGATAAGGGGTGGTTTAAGTAAATGTAGATAGCTTCACTAAAAGTCAAGAGGGGCTGTGAATAATGACTTTACTGTTGGTTTTCTAAATTTGAAAATTTTAGTTGGTTATATTTAGGGCTTGACTAAGAACATTCAAAGCTGTATTTAAATTTGCAGTTGCTGCAAATATCCACATGTGGCCATGACATGAAGATAGTAGGTATGTCAGGAGCTGAATCAAAAGATTATTTGATTATTTCCATACATATGTTTAACATTTGAGTAACAGTAGGGTGACTACTATGCACAGTATATCCAACAGTAATTAATCTGTATTGGGACTGATGCATCCTAAATTGAAAGCAAGGTGTAATACTTTGATCAATTATTGCCCATAATTATGTTAATGATAAATTAAAGTCAATGTATTCTAACATAATTCCAATTAACATGAAAATATTAACAAGGTCTCAGAATTATCTGTGAGAATGCAAATAACTAGTCAGGCAAACATTATGGCAAGAATTTCTATAAAGAATTACTGGTGAGCTGAAAGTCAAGATCTGCCAGGATTTAAGGTCATTGTCATTAGTAAGACAGACTAAACAGTTAAATATAACATATGGGGAGGTAAGGCACACCAATATTGGAATGGCATATCTTTAAGTACCATTGAACTGTATCTTATAATGCTCATAATCATATGCCACCTAGAGGATGATGGTTTAAATTAAGTATTTGCAATGTTAAATATAAATTAAACATTATAAAGAGAAATTTAAAATCATGGAAATTATATAGATTATTCTATCAACAAGTTGTTGTTAGTTGAATGTTCCTTGTGAAGCCATGTTTTGCCTTGTGTGTGATGAAGAGAAAGAATGGTTGAGGAAGAGAGAGCTGCAGGAAGGGAGACATAGAGGGAAACACTTCAACCTCTTGGAGACTGGCTTAAATTATTTAATCCAATTAAGGTAACTAAATACAAGTTCTATTATTTTGGTATTTGGGATAACAACTCTTTTCTCGCTTGAATTTTAGGATATGACTCCCTAATTATAGCAACAAAAATACAAAGTTTTAAAAATAAAGTCTTTTATTACTTTTATTTAGTAAAATCTGAGCATCAAAGGCAAACTATTTTGTGTAATCTAATTGATGAATTGAACTAAATAAAATTCTAGACAAATTTATAAAAATACCTCGAAAAACAAAGCACACATACTCACACCTCACACATACCTAAAATTACGATATTAGATACAGAGCTAAACAATTTAGTGTCTTATGAAGGCAAAAGGATTCAGTCAAAGGATAACCACATACAATATTTTTATACTTTAATATATATTTTTTATATTTTCTTTTTCATTGTGGTGGATGCATTATTACATTTTTATAAGTATTTGCATTTTATTTATAAATTCATGTCTATATTATAAAATGCAAATTTTATAAATTCAAATAACCCCCAAATTACACTTGTAAGTATAAAATTATTACATAAATGTTCATAATTTTGCTTTCTATCTTGCATTCTGGAGGGAGTATTCAGCAGAACGCATTCTCAAAGAGCAAATATGTAAAATGAATATTTCAGAATAAACATGATGATTCAACCAAAGCTTTACAACAATGCTATAAAGTGATACTCTCATAAACTCTAATGTACAATTAAAATTCTTGACAGAAACATTTAAATTGTGTGATTTTTTTACCTGTGACTGATTGTGTAAAACACAATTTTATTCATTTAGCTGTAAATGGGATGCTTGGCATTCTTAATAGAGTCACAGCATTCAGATGTTGATTAGAAATATAGAGAGCATTCCATTTCCATTAGTCTAATGACTTGCTCAAGGTTGCAGAGTGGTTAATAGAAACAGAGTTCAAATCCTGGTCTCCTGACTCCTTGCTGTATTTGTCTTCTATAAAATAAAAAACCTTTTTCCACTTATTTTGTTTTAAGATATTAATAAAGGAGAAGTTAGTATTAATGTTAAAGAAATCTGAAAATCAAATGAAATAAAAGGTCTGTGCTTCAAGGACCATCTCAATGCTTAGTCTTCCAACACACCATTGATAAATGTCATGAGTCAACCAGACTTCTTCATTCACTCCCACCTTCAGGTTAAAGCTTGGGAAATATTTAAAAATTAAACTGCAACTAGCCCACTTAAAAATCTTTTAACATTTCTGCACAATTTTTATTAGAAATTCCTCACTTATGCAGTGTAAGGCTTTTCATGTTAATAGCATGCCGTGGACACTTGCATATAAACTTTTATAGACAATTGACTGAAAAATACTCCTAAAAAACAGGCTTTAGTTTCTGTGAACAAAATACACTTGTTTCATTTCCATGCTGATTCAATATTTATGTCATCACAGAGAAAGTTTCATGTCCATATGTTTGTTTATTTTTAAATTTTTACCTCCATAGACTGTGAATTGCTCAGGTGGTCAGGGAAGGTAAATTTGTTTCACAAAATTCCAGGCCCACAGACGAAAATCCTGGCACTTTAGCTTTCTCTTCACTGATAGCCAGAGGGATCAATGAAAGTGAATGACTAAATCAATGGGAAACCATCATCATTAATGCATAAAAAATAAGCTCTCAAATGTATTCTTGGTGATGGTGGCTCATCACCACGATTTCATCTAGGAAGAATAACATGGTGACATATTTTGATATCTCAATTACATTTTCTGGAACAATACTGTATTATCTAAACGTGGTTGGATTGATGTAAACTAGGGGAATCAGTGATCTTGTACTGCTGGGTGTCTGGTTCAAAAGCTGAGGCATTGATATTAGGCACTGGTCTTCTTATAGCGCATTAAGATGCAAATTTGGCTGAAAGGAAAACTACATCTCTAGGGCTCCCCTAACATAGTTTCTTTAGAGTGTAATTCAGCCTCTCTTTATTGAGGGCCTATGGGGCCAGAACTGAAGTGATGATGGCAGGCACAAGAGTAAGTATGATTTAAGCTCTGACCCCAAGCAGCTTAAAGTTTAAGTGGAGAAACCAGCAAGAACAAATAGAAAGGAGTGATGAGACACCAGCTGCTTTAACCTAGGGATGTCACCTTGGTATTAAACAAGGTGTCCAGGAAAAACTCAAAAAGACCAAAAATGAATAAAAATCTGTCTTGTGTAACATGGATCTAGGCATGCCGTGGCTAAGGCTTGACAACAA